CACACAACGATGTTTCCTATGGGGATTTTCGCTTAAGGACGGCAATCCGTTCCAAATGGAACGGATTATCCGGTTTTCAATGCATCTCTATGGGAAATGGTGTTTCACAGAACGATGTTTTCACAGAACGTTTTTTTTTTGAACCAATTAACATCGTTGTGCGAGGCACCACTGTAATGGGGATTCCCTTCATGCTAACTTTCGAGGTGAAAGCTTCCACAATGACTGTTCTGGGCTGGACAAGAACTTGCATAGGCTGGATTTAGGATTGTGGGGTGGATGTTCCTCTTTGCCACAGTATGGAATTTACAAACCATATTTTGAACAACATTTAAAATAATCCTTATGGTATGAATTAAACACACCTGAGGATCAGACTGAGTAAAAATGCCACCTGAAGGAATTTAACTTCCCTGAAATGCACTGGAGAGGGCCCACTTCTCTAGCTCCCAGAGCCAGATGACATTACTGAGGCTTCATGGAATGGCATTTTAATAAGAATGCCATTTTTTAAAAGTCCTTGGGTATTTTTTTTAAAAAAGGTCTATATCTAGTTCTCTTATTCATTAAAGAAAACAGTTAAGACCTGAAAATTGTTATGACTCATTTTAGACAAGAAGCTTTTTTTTCTCCATTGCTTCATAGAAGACTGGCTACAGAACTGCTTCAGACTTATTTTACCCTTATTTTTTTAACAAAACATATGTTTGAGTAACATTTTGACTGCGTAACATTGCTTTTCAAGCTTCTCCTGTTGCTAGTTTACTAATATGAATGAAAAACAAAATGTGGTAAATAGGGTAGATTTGAATCAAATCACAACTTAAATCATAAAATAAAATTTTTTAAAAATTGGATTTTAATCACTTAAATTTAAAAAATGATTTTTTATTTAAATCATGATTGAAATCAATTTCATTATTTAAAAAATCATTAATTTTTGTCTATACTGGATATAAGCAAATTGGTACAGTAACATCATCATCCCACACATATTATTAAAGATAAATTGAACTGAATACAAGATGACTCCTCTCCCCCCATGTATTTTAGAAGTTCAGACTTAAGTAGATAACCATAATAATGGTTTCACACTAACGAAATTCATGTTGTCAGCTAAATTTCAAAACAAATTTCAAGTCTAATGGAAACTCTGAATCATTTGTGATATTCAAATGTTGATACCGTTGTGAAATGGGTACTGTAAAGGCAGACCTGTGTTGAATTTAACTTCTGCTGCTGAAAAGCACAAGCTATTTGATATTTAAATGGCAACATCTGAAAGGAAACCTTGCATTTCATTTTTGTTTACCTTAAAGAAACAATATGTTTGGTACACAAGAGCAGAGTTAAATGAAGCCTTGACTTCCAGAAATACATACACCCATGCAGTTGTTTTTCTGAGTTGATAATATGCCAAATGGCAACCTGGGCAACCATATCATAAAACGTACACCTTAACTAAACCTAAACCTGTGCTACCTCCTTATTCCCTTTAATGAATATTAGGCTGAAGGGTCCTGGAGGCAAAGGATTTTCTTCTTACTATAAAGTACCAATGATACCATTTAAGAAAGTTATAGCTTGGGGGCTTTCATTAATCATCAGTGATGATGCCTGCAGCAGGAAGGCTTTTATTAAGTGTGCTCCATTTCTACCTCAATCCTGTTGCAAATATGTTTCTCCCTTTTGCCACTGAATTTTATTCCACTGCAAGTTAGGATGTGGGCAACAAACTTGGGGAAGGTCAAGGCTGAACCTGTATTTTCTCTCTCTCTCTCTGTGTGTGCATCTCTCTCTCTCTCTCTCTGTGTGTGTGTGTGTGTGTGTAACCTATAATTCAATATTCTTTCCTATCCAGAACACTGATCCTAAACATTTATACTGTTGCTTCTGTTGTACTACACTAGTTTAATGGCTGTACTGTCTCATCTTTAGGTAAAAAAAGATTTCTGCCCTATAATAGCAAATTTTAACAGTGTAATTCTAAAACAATGGATTAAGTAACAGTCTGGTTGTATGAGATAAATTCTGATGGTCTACAAACAATTAGCTCTTCTTGTACTTAGTGTTCAAATGTAAAACTTACTCTATTGTAGAATCAAGTCCCATTGTCCTTGATATTTGTGAAGAACACATGTACTTACTTTGCATGAAACAAAGCATTGTTTTCAACTTGTTGGACATAACAATAAGAAGTTCTTACCTTAACACTCAAGTCTCATGAGCAACAATATTAATACACATTTTATATTAAACAGACAACAATTAACTGTCTAGAAGCAAGCAGATAATCAGTATTGTTACCATACCTTTAAAAAATTAACTACTGTACTGTTTATCTATCTGGCACAAAAAACCAAACCCATCTGGACAAGGTTTCTGAGAACTGTGCTAAGTAAGTATAGCATGAAAAACAAGGTGACTGGAAAGGTTGCATAACCACCTTTCTTACAGGCTTTAATGAGAAAGCTAAGACAGCATTGTTAACTACACGCTGACTTGTATTAGACCAATGGGAGGAAGCTGTGGAAATGTTCCCCTTGAGATCCTAGCAGCGCAGATTTATGAATATTTACTCAGAAGTCAATTCTACTGTGTTCAATGATACTAACAAGTAAACAGGGAACTGATGGCAAAAAAACTGTATTTGCTTAATCTTTCTTGAACATTAAGATAGGTTTGTGGAATAAAAGATAAACCTTACTGGCCTATTTTTATTTTTAATAGGTACCTACTTTGAGTCGTTTAAAATTAGAGAAGTTAGCAACATATTTATGTATTTTGAATCTAATAATGGTCTCAAATAATTAATTTTACAGTTGATCAAATAGCTGCAAATTATTACCATTTTACAATATACAAAAATTTTAGAAGCATTTTTTCTTTTTAGTGGTCTACTGGCTTAATCCCACCCTGCCTGTGGGATGTGCTGTTAAGTCAGAACTGACTTACAGTGACCTTAATAGGGTTTCCAAGGCAAGTAAGATTTTTAAGGAGGTGCTTTACTAATTCCACTGTTTTAGTGAGTTTCCATAGCTGAGCGGGGGTTTGAACCCTGTTCTACAAAATCCTAGTCCATCTCTATATATCCACTACACGACACTGGGAACCTTCAATCCCGCCATAGTCTTTGTAAAATCAAATCTCACTTCCACCTACCGGTACTTTTCTCAAGTGCATATGAACTTAATACTGCAGTGATCCTTCTTGTGCCTCTGGCTAATACACACCTTACAGTTTTTAACAGGAGAATGTTGTAAAAATCTCAGCAACTGTTCACACTGCAAGTACATAGAACAGTTCTTTCCTCATATCTCTGATTCCACAGAAGAAAGCTGCAAAGATGTACAAGAGTTGGAATGTGTAGGCTATATATAGTGGAAGACAAATGTGATCCGCCTCGAAAGTAAACTGAGCTCCTAGACTGCCACCTGCACCTTTACAGAGCACAGAATTAACTAGAGGCCAAATTGATGGAACGTAGGAAAGCAAGTTGGCCATGTCTTGACTGGGCCTACAAAAACATGGTACAGTGGCAGCTCTATTCATGGTGAACGTACAATCACTGGAAAGCTAAAATATGCTTTCTGAGCAGAGGCATGTCTCATTGTTCTTTCAAAAAATCTATTATTTTTCACTCTGCAAAACATTAAGACCACGGCACATAAGCAAGTAAACTGGGGGGGAGACAGAAGAAAAAGATCTCAAGGTCAGAAATACATAAGGAAAACCATGCCTATGTAAAATAAGGGTTTAACTACAGTAATACTGTAGTCTGTCCAGACAGTGGCCACCACTTGCCCATGGAAAGCCTGTCAGCAGGCTACAAATGCCAGCTGCAGTTTCTCTCTCACACATAGTCCATCAACTGATAAGCAGATGTATACTGCTTGTAGTACTGGAGGTGATAATATCAGCCTGATTAGTAGCCAATGATGGCCTTGACCTTCATGAATTTCTCTAACTCCCTTTTAAAGCTGACCAGTTTGACAGTCATCATTTCATCCTGTGGCAGTGAATTAAACAGTTTAACAAAGTGTCATGTGAAGCAGCAGTATTTCCACTTGCTCCCACCACTCAGCTCCAGTTGATGCCTCCTGGTTCTGGTATTAATATACAGAAGAAAAAAGTTTATTTCTACTTTGCTCTCAGAAAGCAGAATTTTATTATAGCCACCCTGCCTGCCCTTAACTGGCTGTTTCCCTCTTAAGCCTCTCCCTCTTTTGCTTGCCACTCTGCATCCTTTTGAGATATACATTTTCTTTTCATGTGTGCAGATTAGAACTGCCCAGTTATCCAGTTGTGGTTGCACCACAATATTGCAATAGACCACTATGACATTTATAACTTCATTTTCTATTTGCTTTCTCATGATAGTCAAAATGGAAAATCCTCAAATTCAGTTAGCAGATTTTGATACCCTGGACAGGTGCAACATGAGCTAGATATGACCAAGCCTCAATTCCCATATTCAGCAAAAGGCCTGTCTGCAGTCAGTGTACATAACAGCAATCTAGTGGGACCAACCATCCTTGGAGTCATACATCTGAAAAAACTGAATTTGAGACTGAAAACACAAAATGAATCTTGGTGCAGAATTCCAAGTTTTTCAGTAGGTCTCTCTTGTGTGAGCAGCAACCTTCCTTAGACTTACCATAGACTGTGTAAGAGATGATAAAGACCTATGGCAGTGATGGCGAACCTATGGCACGCGTGCCACAGCTGGCACACAGGGCCCTCTCCATGGGCACATGAGCCATAAGTCGCTATGGAAAAGCTCTTACCCATCCTCTGATTTCAGATTTCGGTACTCCCCTCTGTTGGTGCAGTGGTCCAGCAGAGGGGTGCAATGGTGACCATTACCGGTCTAACCCAATAGGGGATTGGAGAACCAGTAAGTATTTCTTTGTTAATACCGCCCATAGGGAAAAAAAACCCCAAGCATTTAACCCTTGCAGTGCAGGAGCAGTCCTTTTTTTCTAAACTAAAACCTCAGCATTCAGGTTTTAATTGCAGTATTGGCACTTTGAAATAAATAAGTTGATTTTGTGTTGCAGTCTCGGCACTCGGACTCAGAAAGGTTCACCATCACTGACCTATGGCAACACTTTATGTCCATTTATCTACACACACATGAACAAAATCCAATTCAGAACCCATCACCACACACAGGGCCATTTTACAGATCAGCACAGTGGAGAGTCTCTGCCCCAGGTATCCTATAACGCGAACTCCCTCCAGGGTGAGGCAGGGAACACCATTACAGTGCAATAACGTGAATCATCTTCAGTTATTAATTCAGGTCCATCTCACTGGGAGAGCAGAAGCCTTCATATTCCCCTTCATCAGCGACTTTGGGTCTATGTGTCAGAACATGCCTTCAAAACTTACAGTTTCCCTCATGCAAGCATAAATTGTCAATAGGATTCAGGCCAGTAAGTCCTCCTGCCTGCATTTCTTTTCCTACTTACTATGTTACCTTGAGAGTCCTCTGGACTGCAAGGAGAAGAAACCTATC